AGGACCGAGTTATAAGTATATGTAGACTTTATTTATGGAGACATTTAAGGATTTCATCTGAATTTTTTAAGAAATTCGTATAATTTTAAACTCATAATATTTTTCCCATTTCTTCTTGGCTGTTTTTTAGTTTAATCTTCATATATACTTAAGTCTTCTCGTTTATTTGAGAACACTATCACAATCTGAATTAAAATTTTTGTTGTTAATATTTACTATTCCCTAACACAAATTAAAATTTAAATAAATACATAGATGTTAAAAACAAAAGGAGCTTTTATCTATTCTTCTTATCCGACAAAAAATGTGTTTTTGCCCGATTATAAATGCTTGCCAGCTAGATGTTAATGCTTTTTATATATGAGTTGTGTCTCGAAAACTATTCAATAACGGAAAAAAATGCTTACTATAATTGAACAGCTGATGGTGTACGTCCATATTTTTTCAGAAGTTAATCCAGAAAGATCAACTAAGAAAATTCATGTAGATTGTTGTTCATTTGCCGGGATCCAAGTTTTGTCGTGTGATTTCTTTTTTTGTTCATGTTAGTAAACACTGAGTTATTCCTATGGACAAAATCTTAATCAAGCTTTTAGCTATTCTTATAAGAATATTTGACTGACTTTTTACAATATTGGCAGACTTTGAACTTCTTATTATAATAATTTGTTGGTCCTAGTTTCTTTCCTTGATTTGTGCCGATTTTCTCCTTTCACTTTTAAATAAATGGCCTTACTCAGTACAGCTAAAGCAACTGTTTCAGCCGTGGGATGAGTCATCTGTTCAGCTATCGAATAGCCTTGCATTCTGTACATCGGTGCGTCTCGTTGGCTTGCGTGATATTTGCGGCCGGACAGCAATAATGTTGGCTGCCTCTGTTGGTGCTATTGCCACTCTTGATCGGCTGATTAAGGCTCATCAGCAATTACTGATGCTTCTAGGTTTGCTTCCACTGCCTCAATCCGCAGGTCTCGGGATCGCCGACGGACGGAGCTCCCCTCGAGTAGCTGATGGAGGTGGTGATTTTCATTTCCAGGGGTTACGATCGACTCCAACAGTGTCTGCCGATCGGCGCAAACGCGCTGTAAAAGCCTGGCGCACCCGGAGTGGATTCAAGCAAGGGGTCTTCCGGAGAGGTGGGAGCGGTAAGACAGACGAAAGAGCGGAGGGGGACGAGAAAGACAGAAGGAATTCGAACAGGTGGCAAGAGTATAATTTGAATGGTTCAGAACACTTTGAGACACATCATGTAGAGGCAACAGCTTTAAAAGAAATGGAAAATGCGATCCTTGATGGAGACGATTTTGAGGATATTGAGGAGGACAGGGAAGCTGAATCGGATAAGGACTGGGATAATGAAGAAGATGAAAATATAAAAGAAGATAAATTGAAGGAGACAAACAAGGATATTCTAGATCAGAATTTGCAGAAAAAGCCATCCAAAATAAAGATTGAGCTTAATGATGGAGTTAATGGTAGAGAATTATCAAATAGCGATCAGTTAATCAGCCTTCTGGCTTGGTCTGCCAAGGACGAAGCCGGCATGACACTACTACATCACGCTTGCACAGCACCTGGCGACCATACTGGAATATTTCTTCTTAACAGGTGAAAATGCTAGTACCAGCTTACTAATAGGAAAAAATGCAAGAATCATTCAATATACTCATACCATTAGAGGGTCTAGCTTAAAATATTTTAATAAAATATTAAAGCAAGCATTTATAGTCACCTTAGAGCGCAAAAGGTAAGGAAGAACTGATAAACGAATTTCCGCATAACTATATGGATGGGCCTTTATGGATGATGCTTTTGCATTTCATTTAGTCTTGCCTCCCAAAACGTACTATTATCCAGGGTAGATTGCAGCTTCGAAATCATCTTATTCTAATCATCATCCCTAACTAGAATCGAAATTCGGTTGATATTATACTTTGCACTACCCTGTTTAGATTCCCGCTGGGGTGTTGATAAGACCGATGCGAGTTCGAAACTGCAGTCCACCCTGGATGAGAACAACTTTGGGAAAGCAAGTCTATGTGAAATTCAATGAAAACATCAGCTCTACTCATATTGTGTGAAAATTCTACTACTAGTCCTTCAACACCTTAAACGAAATAGAGTGAATACATCTCATATTACTGATTTACTGGCAGTCTTTAAACTCTACTTAAATACGAAAAATAAGTAGCGTAGTCGATTGTTATAGCAAGTATACGTTTGCTTCATCGACAATCCGACCAAGAATATGATATGGCAAAAGGCCTGGCCTTTCTTGAAATTCACATCTGCCCTGTGACCCAAGGGCACTCGTGAAAATGTGGCCGAGT